CGCCCCCGCCCTTCGCCTGCAGCTCCTGGGCTGGGGAAGAGGGAGCCTGGTAGGGCTGGCTCCAGCCTGGCTAGGCGCAACATGGTGCTGGGGAAGGGGCTCGCTGATCCCACACAGAGCCCGTGGGGACCCAGTCACATAGAGATTTGAGGTTCTTCTAGGGATCAGCTTGTTTTGGCCTTGTTTTGAAACAGAATTAGCTTGGTTTTTGCATTATTGTGAAAGCTGGCATGCTTATTTACAGCATGAAAGTTGGCAACTGACCCAGAGACAGACAGAGCAATATCTGAGCAGAGGAGATTTCTGCCCTGAAGGCTGATGCTGACAGGCTTCCTTTTACTATTTTCACCAGGAAGATAACCACAAGAAATAAGAAAGTGAAGAAAGATTCCAAGCTATTCAAAGAATAGGGTGCTTGCTGTTTTTCAGCTCAGGAGAATGTGGTGACAAAGGCCAAATCAGTGGTGGGTGTTTTAAATGCATAGGTTTTGTAGCCTTAGCACCTTTTGATAGTGAAAAAAACTGTACATTTGATACTATTATATTTCTTTGCATAGTATGTGCTAGAATGATAATATGTTTAGATTTATGACAAGTTTTGGTTAACTCTCAAATTGCCTTTTTATAAACTTTTTATTTGTTTGCTTTAGGCCATGCAGTTTTACTGAATTGTGGTCTTTATTCCAAACTGGGGGAACTCAGCATACTGGCATCCCTGATGGTCCAACTTTGCATATTTCTTTTATAAATTATTATCCACAGTGGGTGTTCAGCTGTAAAAACAGTCCTGATGTAAAATGGAATTAGAGTGGCTACTTTTGTAATCAAAATTCAGTGGGTTACACATGTATGTGATACACTGTTTTTTCTTTACTTTCATTAGGAAGTGTTCTTCCAATATAAAAGCATTTCAATAATCATTTTAAAATCTATAAAGATTTAGAAATATTATGGGAAATAATGCCCTTAATTCTGTGCTCAGGGGAGAAAACAGTTGAAGATCCTAATATTCAAGCATATCTGGTGCTAATCTGTGAAATGGCATTGACATCAGTAATTTATAAAATCAGAAAAGAACAAAAATTACTAACCATTTCAAAGTTTGTTAATAATACAGGGTATTCACAATATATTATTTCCAGAGCAAAGAAGAGTTATTCCCATCTCACACAGACATTTAAAAAAAATCTAATGATGTAGGGGGTTTTCAATATTATTTTAACTTAATTAAATAGCCACATCCCAATACATGAGCTCAAATTCTAAAAGAATATCATCAACAGCTTTCCTTTGACATTTTGTCTTTAACCATGCATAAAAATACATCATTCTTTATTTTCAGCTGCAAATCCTAGTTTTTATTTCCCTTCTTTTTGGGCTTCATTGTTCTAGAGTTACTTGAATGCAACTTATTTATGGCAGAATATAAATGATGAGATTTTCATGGCTTTGGAAGGTTCTGATGTGTATACTAAGCCATCAAAAGAGTAAAAACAACACTATTTTCATAAATACTATCACACTTTTAAAGTGAATCACAAGGATCTTGGACACAGTAGAGAACCTCCGGTATGCCAGCTGCATGCAGTGTGTCAGGATTAGGGGCTAGCAGGCTGCCAGACAGTTTGAGCTGTGGGGCTACATGCCTGTAGCTGGTCAGGTAAACAAAGGAAGAAAGGAGACAAAGATAAACTACAGGGCTGTGTCTACATTGGCACCCCTTTCCAGAAAAGGGATGCTAATGTAGACTTTGGAATAGGCAAATCTGCGGGGGATTTAAATATCCCCCCGCGGCATTTGCATTAACATGGTTGCCGCTTTTTTCCGGCTTGGGGAAAAGCCGGAGAAAAGCGTCAGTCTAGACGTGATTCTCTGGAAAATAAAGCCTTTTCCAGAGGATTTCTTAGTCCTACTTGAAAGTAAGAATAAGAAATCCTCCGGAAAAGGCTTTATTTTCCGGAGAATCACATCTAGACTGGCGCTTTTCTCTGGCTTTTCCCCAAGCCGGAAAAAAGCGGCAGCCATGTTAATGCAAATTCCGCGGGGGATATTTAAATCCCCCGCGGATTTGCTTATTCCAAAGTCTATATTAACATCCCTTTTCCGGAAAGGGGTGCCAATGTAGACACAGCCCAGAGGAAGGAATGCAAAACCAGAGGTAGAGATAAAAAAGAAAACAGAAAATGTATTCCACCAAAACTTGAACAATTTGCCAGTGGTAAGCAAGAAGTGTTGCTTTCACAATTAACAGATTCATGTAACTGAGTATTGTAGAAGTGATAGGA